TATAGGAGCTCTGGTAGCACAGTGCCTAAGGCACTTGACTGCTAACCAGAAGGCTGGCTGTTCAAACCCAACAGCCACTCCTCAGAAGGAAGTTTGGGCAATCTGCTACCATAGTGATACTCCCTCGGAAACCCAAGGAGGGGTCACTCTGTGTCATGTCCGACTTGACAGCACATAACAACAACAACAGTATGGACAAAAACTTCTAATTTTTCTTCTACTAGCCAGTAATGACCTGAACACTATGGACATACCCTGGAAGCCTTGGCAGGACATAAGGATTGCTTTCTGAGAAGACGAGCACAGTAAATACATTGCTATAAAACATTATTTTTACCAAAGGAGAAAAATCAGGATTTGAAGCCAGAGAAACAGAGAGTATAAGAAGTTGGTAGCCTTAAATCAGAAAAGATAAAATGAAAGTAAACTGACAATGGCTGACAAATCAAAAGTAGAGCATTGTAACTATCTATATCTAATTTTATTAAGCACAGACAGGGGCATGTCTGGAATATTGACAGAGTTCATAAAGTCTGAGAAAATTACACTGTACATAGTAAAATATCTTTATGTTTTATGTATTTTAATAACTCATTTTATCCGATAGCATGGGAGATCTGGTGGTATAGTTCCTAAGACATTTGACTGCTAACCAGAAAACTGGAGGTTCAAACCCATTAGCCACTCCTTGGATGAAGATTGGGAAATCTACTTCCATAGAGATACCGCCTCGGAAACCCAAGGCGGGGTTGCTAGGAGGTGGGATGGACTTGAAGGCAGTGAGTTTTTTTTTTTTTTTTTAATCCAAAAGTGTTATTTTGCAAATGCTTCTTTTTTAAAAGAGACAGTTTTTTCTGAGAAATATAAAAAGGTAGATGTAATTTTCATGTTTAACTGAGTAATTACTTTGGAATAATTCCTTACTTGTATCTATTCAAGATATGTTAAGTGTTAATTCAAATTGTGAAGAGCTAATATAGTCCAACTAGCTCATGATGATATTCCCATGACCTTATTAATATTAGCCTTTTATAAAATCTATCTTTAAAAAAAAACAAATATAGCTAAAGTTCATTAGCTGAAATTATTTTCTGAAGTTCTGGAAAGATGACATTGATAGATCAGTGTAATATTCCTGTTGCTTATCATTTTTCTGAATGATTCAATAATATGCTTGCAAGTTTGATAAATTCAATTGACAGGGTTAGATATAAACTCAACCTATGTGGCATAGAAGAAGGGAATTAAATATTTTAGATTGCAATTAATATGGAGCTCTGAGTAGTCGACAAATAAATTTTTTAAAAAATAAGTAAATAATCAATTGGATATATAAAGCATGTGCAATATTTCAAACATGAAGTCAGAACGTGTGTAACATAATTTCATTCTAAAGGGACTCTGTATATATCAAATACAAAAGAAAAATTGATACTT